ATGTTGAGGCCAGTATCATCAACACACATTCCCTATTTTCCATTCTTCTTTTTCACAACAGGATTAGCTACCAGTCGGAGTGGTATACCTCTTTGATGAATCCGGCTGCCAGGAGTTTGGCGATCTCCTCGCCTATGGCCCTACGCCACTCGTCGTCAAAGCGACGCGGATGTTGCTTGGCGGGCTTTAAGCTCGGGACGAGGCGGAATGTGTGCTCGGCGACCTTCCTTGGTATGCCCAGCATGTTAGAAGGTTTCCACGCGAAGATTTCGCAGTTGGCGCGTAGGAAGTCGGCGAGCCCACTCTCCTATTTGGCCGGGAGCTTGGTCTCGATCCGCACCATCTTGGTCGGGTCGGTAGGGTCGATCCCCACAGCCTTGGTTTCCTCGATCGGGTGGAAGGCACTCGATGAGGTCGGCTCCTTGCAGTCTGGGACTGCTGGAGTCAACGAATTCCAAAGCACCGGGAGCTCGGCGAAGTTGATGACGGCAGTGGCGAGCTCGTAATGCTCGCGGCCGCATGTGTAGGCGTGCGAAAAGGTGCTACCCATGGTGATGACAACTTTCGATCGCGGCATATTCAACTTGAGGTAGGTGTAGTTGAGGATCGTCATGAACTTGACGTAGCATGACCGCCCCAAGATGGCGTGGTAGGACCCTGGAAAGTCCACCACCTCAAAGGTGAGGACCTCCGAACGAAAGTTGGCTCGATCGCCAAACGTGACAGGCAGGTCGATCTGCCTGAGTGGGTACGCTTGCGTCCTCGGGATCACGCCGTGGAAGGGAGAGCTCACTAGGCGGAGCTCCGACCGGGGGATGCGCATGGCGTCGAGGGTATCGACGTAGAGAATGTTGAGGCCGCTACCTCCGTCCATCAACACCTTGGTGAGGCGCTTCTTACGGACGATGGGGTCAACAACAAGCGCGTAGCAACCTGATCGGGCGACGTGGAAAGGATGGTCTCTCCGATCAAAAGTGATCAGAAAGTCCGACCAGCTAAGGAAAGAGGGGATCGCCAACTCGAAGGCGCATGCCTCTATGTAGCGCACCTTGTGCTGGCGCTTAGAGTGGATGGTGTCGGATCCCCCAAAAATCATGAGGCACTCCTCGAGGTCGAGGAAGCCGTCATCATTTTTGCCCGCCACGCCTCTTTTCTTGGCCGCCTCCTTGCCCTTCCCTTCCTTCGGCTTGCCGACGTGCCGCAGAAAGCACTTGAGGAGCTCGCAGTCCTTGTAGAGATGCTTGACAGGGTAGGCGTGGTTGGTGCATGAACTCTCCATGAGCTTGTCGAAGTGGTCGGGCTGAACCTGCTGGGGCTGCTTGCCCGCACGATCGGTCACGGCGACCAAAGGCTGGGTTGGTCGGTCGTCGCCGATCCTTCTTGTTCTTCTTGCCCCTTTGTGTGGAGGGGCCTTCGCCTTGGTCCTCGCGCTTGGCCTTGCCCCTGTCCCGATCGCCGCTAAAGACCACTCTGACCGCCTCCTTGCCGGATACGTGGTTCGTGGCGATGTCAAGCAGGTCGCGAGAGGTACGAGGCTTCACACAGCCAAGCTTGTGGATCAAGGACTCACAGGTTGTCCTAGAGAGGAACGCGCTGATGACGTCTGCGTCAACGACAACAGGAAGGGAGTTGCACCGCTTTGAGAACCTACGGATGTAATCACGTAGGGACTCGCTGGGCTCCTGCTGGCAGTTCTTGCGGTCCCAGGAATTCCCAGGATGAACATGTCTCCTGAAAATTCCCGACGAAGACCCTCTTAAGATCTGCCCAGTCGCAAATGCTGTCGGACGAAAGAAATTTGAGCCATGCTCGAACATGCTCCCCCACGCAGATGGGGAGATACTGGATGATAAAATGGTCAGCATCCACTCAAGCGAGCCGAAAGTCGAGCCATATATCGGGGTTCGTTTCCCCGATGTATCTGGCGATGTTGGTGGATGGTCAGAAGCACTGTGGGAACGACACTTTCTGCATGCGACGACCAAAGGCCCGTGGTCCCGGGCCGTCCAGGCTGGGACTTCGGCCATTTGGTCGGCCACCAAGCCTGGGGTGCGTGTCCCCGCACTCCTCGATGGTCAGGCCGGGCCATGTATCACCTGCTCTCGCCACCACTCGATAGGCGTCATCATCGTGCCGGGCATGGCGTCAATTGTTGATGACGCTGCGAGCGTGACGGTTCGGCCCGAGGCGTTCGCGCATAGGTGGTAGGTGTGGAGCGGGCGTCGGGTCGGGCTGTGGTGCAGCTGTGGCCTCCTGGCCCACCCCTAACAACAGCAGTGGTGAGTGGACAGAGCGATTCGACTGGTACGGCCCTAGTCCTCCGGTTGGGCAAGAGGCAGCGAGCCGGATGTCGCGACGCGGAGCTCTCCGCCTGTTGAACGGCGACGGTCTCCACCAACGCCCGGAGGTTCCGGTGGATTGCTTGTTCCTAGGGGTCGGCCGGCTCGGGGAGGCCACGCAGAAGCGCCAGCTCGAGCGAACAGAGGGGGGTCGATCCCTCCGTCCAGGATGTTGTGCTGGACCTGACGGGCGCGACCCCGAGCGTCGCTCACCGGGTTACGCGTGCGTGGCGCTGCGTGCTGCGCCGAGCGCGCCAGCGCAGGTGGCGGTTGGCTCTGCCGCCTTTGTCGTAACTCCTCGTCGTGCTTCTGCGCACGCGCGAGGGCCTCCGCACGAGGGTCCGGTGGGGTGTGAGTCTGTAGAGACTCCGCTACCACCGGTGGCTGTCCTGAAACGTCCGCTATAGCGCACTACTAGGACAGAGGGTGGCCAAGTGCCACAACATCGCCGATGCTAGAGCCGTCGCTTTCAACCTCGTCATCCACAAGGTCGTGAAAGGAGACAGGAGCGTAGCCCGCCATCCCCACGAATTCGGATGTGAGGGGGTGGCGTCAGCATCCTTCAGAGCCCCCGCGCGTACGCGTACGCGGGGGACACAAAACCGTAGGGAAACCGGTCGCACGACGGTCACGGTGGGGAGAACGGGGTCCCTCCGGAGAATCAACGGATGGAATTAAACAGCGAGTAAAGAACAACATGTACGTTACTCACCGTGGAGTTTGAGCCCAATATGGGCTCAAGTCGAAGCGCGAGTGTCTCGATGTTGGGGTCGTCGAGTGGCCCGGGGCCAGTGGAGGAAATCGGTCGCACGACGGTCACGGTGGGGACAACGGGGTCCCTCCGGAGAATCAATGGATGGAATTAAACAGCGAGTAAAGAACAACATGTACGTTACTCACCGTGGAGTTTGAGCCCAATATGGGCTCAAGTCGAAGCGCGAGTGTCTCGATGTTGGGGTCGTCGAGTGGCCCGGGGCCAGTGGAGAGCGCCTCCTCCTCCAGTGGGCGCCGAGCCGGTCGGCGACGAAGTCCAGACTCCCGAAGAGGAAAGTCTAGAGCAGTTGGAAGACGGGAGGAACCCACATCCCAACAGGTAGGAACGCGGGAAACTCCAGTGAGCCGAAGTGAATCATATCAGTCGAGCCCACCATGCCGAAGATAGTGGAAAGGTGGGCCTTCCAATGACCAAAAGCGTGAACGCATGGCGTCCTCCCCACGGACGACGCCAAATTTCAGTGTGAAAAGTGATCAAGTAAATACTTATGGTTTTGCCGTGCGTTGTGATCGGATGTTTCCTAGCACTCAATGGCACAGGATTTATACTGGTTCAGGCAACGTGCCGTACATCCAGTTTCAATCGATCGGTAACTTTATTCCTGAGCCTAGGTGCTCGAAGTTTGATGTGAGGTTACAAACGAGTAGGAATAAAAAGGGGTGTTAAAGGCCCGGTCGGACTCTGAACCGAAGGGCCAAGAGTAACAGGGGCTTTAACGTGCGCTAATTATTGGAGCGTGTGCTCTATGTAGCTTTAGAGTTCTAGAGCCATTGAGCTATTCAGGTTCTCTTTTTTAGGAGAGCCAGAGTTAGAATCAGAATAGCCAGAGTGAACGTCCCCAGAGAGGAGAGAGCGCATCCCCTTTTATAGTTGGAAGGGGATGGCCTTACAAGTTAGAGAAAAAGAGAATGGATACGTGTGCTACCTAGTTTTGTTGCCCATGTCGTCGGGTACGAGACGGTCATTGGCGCCCACAATACTGTTTGTCAGACGCATGTAGCAGGCTTTACTGTGTTCACCTAGTACGGCAAACGTCGACGCCTACAATATTGTTTGTACTCTAGCACGCCTGAAAAGTTGCATAGTACCCGTCTGGCATGGCCTGGTGGCACCGTCCTAAAGGTGCGCATGGCATGACAGGGTACGGTCCTCGGTATTACGGTTAACTTGAGCGCCTTACCTTATCTGCTCTGCCTGATCCCTAGGCCCTCACCGAGCGGTCGTCCCCGGTCGGTCATCCCCAATTGGCCCCGACAGCATTGGTCGAGGAAGAACCGTGAGCAAAGGTCCGACGTATCTCTGGTCGAAAAAGGGGGTCGAAGTCGAACCTTGCCCCCACCTTGGCCAGGGCTTCCGATCGGGGACCAGATCATTGTCCCGGCCTGTCATTATGTATATGGGCCAGCCCGGGAGCCGAGCGTTGTTGCTACGCCGTTTGCTGGGCCAAATTTTTGCAAGGAAGCGGGTCCATTGGGGACCTAGGGTTTATGAACCCAACACAACCCATAACCAAAGGCAGAAGGGTTGATCAGGTGCTGAGGTATATGCGCAAATTGATCAACAATTGGCTGGATGGGCCGATGTGCTTGGGGGATAAAAACAAGACGAGGCCTTGAACTAGAAACATGAGTATTAGCAGCCCGACAAGTGGATACAGTAGCCTTCACTTTCTTTTGTTGCACATGACTGCTTCCTGAGTCAGGTCCCACCTTGTTGCTCTTCTTATCTTTCTGTCCGAGAGGGATGATTAGCTTCTCCAGCCCAAGGGACTTCTCTTGATCAAGAGGCTTCTTGTTATCCTTCTGGATGGGGGAAATTACTGTCTTATCCTACACAAGGGGCTTCTTTATGTCATCTTTCTGGCCAGGAGAAATGACTAGCTTCTCCTAGTCAAGGGGTTTGGTCTTAGCATCTTTCTGAAGGGGAGAACTAACTGACTTCTCCTGATCAAGGGGCTTCTTACCATCTTTCTGACCAGGAGAATTGACTAGTTTATCCTGCTCAAGGGCCTTCTTCTTAGCGTTTTTTTGAATAGTGTTAGTGCTTGTCTTATTTGGATTAGCATGCTTCCTCTTAAAAGTTTTCTGACGGGGATTAGTGACTGGGTTAACCTGGTTCAAAGGCTTAAACAACAGGGCCTTTAGCTTGGGCGCAGCAATTTTACCCTTAGAAAACTTGCTCAAATAAGAAACAATAGCCCTTAGGCATTCACAGATTTTCTGCATCTCCTTCATCCCTACCGATCTGGCGAAATTCTAAGATCGGTCCAAGAAGTCCTCAACCTGCATGATTTGTTTCGCTACATAAACAAAGTTTTGCATGCGCCGTCCAATACAATGTTAAACCAAAATTCATAGGAGAGACTTACATTCAAGTTGCCAACACCCTTCGCCCAGGTCTTCGATATCCATGACCCTTCAAAATTGCTTGCACAGAGCCCTTGCTCAAATAAACCCTCCACTGACACTAGCTGCACCAAACAAGGCCAAGAGTATACGTAAGTGAGCAGAATGAGCCACCATAATGTGTAAACTTTGTCAAAAAATACAGTTTCCACAACAGTGTATATGCAGCCACAATACCAAAAAGAAACAGAAGAACTAGAATTTAAATGTAACTAGCTACATGTTAGAAGAACAATTTTTTAAAAAAAAAAAGCGACCTAGGAGGAACTGAATTTGGCGGCATTTTATTAATTAAGAAGAAACAATTATCATACGGCGGCCAGGGGGGCTGGTACCCTCCTTATCTTAGAGCGTTGCATGTGATTGGCATCGATTGTCTTAATGGAAGTCAGGTTCATAGTGGCATGGTGAAAAATATTTACAGGAGTTAATATGTTGTATCGCCCTCTAGAACACAGTTGATGTATGACAGGTTTTTTCTGTAATCCAAGTTCTGATGTGTTCAGAACTTATATATGTTGTAGTATTCATAGTGTCCTGAAAGGTGTTTTTTATGGTTCCCATTTTATATTATCTGAAACTGAAAAAATATGCTAGAATAGCATGGACTCCGGGCTGGACAGGTTATATAATCAGCAACCATTGAACAGAAAAAAATGGAATCCGTAGCTTCTACGAAACTGAGAAATTATGCTATAATAGCATGGACTCCAGGTTAGACACGTTATTCTACTTCACATAAAATATCAAACTACAAAGATAAAGTTTTTATTGGACCATTGAAACATGGGTTGCCATTAGTCTCTGTTTGGGGAAGATCTGGCAATTGAAACTAACGATGCAGATAACGAGGGCGCCAGCAACCTGGGTGTCCATGTCCACACCCTCAACCAGCTGAGCTAGCTCAGCTTCCTAGATGAATGACAGAGTTATCACGCCTGGTGAGATGAATGAATTATGTCACCAAGTGTGATAACTCTGTCCTCCGAGAAAAATAGGATAGTATTTAAAAACTAATTAAATTGATTGTTCATCTGATCAGATTTAAATTTAACAGGCCACATGTTCCCACAGGTTATTATTCTTTTGTCAATCAAGTGTAGAATCTCCCAAATAAAAAAAAAAGGTGTGCATTATTTATAGTAAAAAAAAGCATAAATAGAAAATCATCAACTCGTGCCTATTGGTCCAAACATAAAATGAAATATTGACATGTGAAAAACATAAATAGAAGGTAAACTTTAAACAACTCACTTTACTCATTAGTGATACAAAAAGTTCAGCAATAGACTCTTTATTTCTGTCTCCAAAACCCTCGAATAGCGATACGTTCTTCTCAATACTTGCAAAATCTGTACCATCTGCAAGAGGATAGAAACTATGATAGCATGATGATCCCAGAAAATGCAGTCAAGGGAGAATGGCATGTGCTCAGATTTTATTACCTTTCAATATGCCAGAAAATGCAGGTAATATTGGAGGACGCCTTGTCTGCAATCCACATTATACAATTTAATGAGAACATTTATTTTTTTCCTAGTTCAAATATATAAAGAGTGTTTCTTCAACAGCCATCATATACATTCAGGTTACAAATCTATTATGGAAATTCCATATGAACAGTGAAACTACTGGTCAATCTACTCATGATCATGCAGGTTGACAGACATCAAACAAAAGTAACTGAGTCAGTTTACCTGCAAATGGAAAGCAACTAAAGAAATAATTGCCATGGAGCTCATTGTTCAATCTTTGGGGCAGTTAACATCATGTACCTTAGCCCAGAACTTCATCTGTAGAATAAACACTAGCTGTTATCATATCATGTATATGAGGAGATTCATGTTACTTAGCATCTCAATCTAAACAAAGATATCAAGACAAAGAATCACAATACCAGATAACAAAGTATCCGGAATCTTTTATCAATTGATGAAATAAATTTAAATATCACTGATCTTGACATCCCATCTTTGTTTTCTACTGAAATATCACACTCTACACCAGTTCCCTGATCAATAACCTTCAGTACAGGAACTCTAGCAGTCACAAAAGGTGAAACACCATAACAGAGACCTTGACCTGAAATTAGTAAGATAAAAAAGAGTTAATTTCACAAAACTGCAACTACTGTAATAAGGAACTGTGACTTCAGCTGGCCATTTCATAAAACTACAACTTTGACCCCTAGTAACAAGCAACTACAGCTCTAAAGAAAACCAGTTGTGTGGGCCACTAAGACTATTCTCTATTTGGATGGCAGGTGGGTAAGTTGTTGTAGTTTTGTGAAACAGTCACCGTTAGATTCTCACAAATGGTTGTTGTTTTGTGAAATTAATTCAGAAAGATATATTAGACAGGGAAAAGACAAAGCGTAACATTGCCATCAAAAGTTTCTTGCTAATTGCCTCGTCACATCCAATATGTACAGGGATGAAAATTTCATTGGCATTAACAACATTAACTGGAATGAAAACTTTGCTGGCTAATTTCCCTAACTTTTTCCCTTCACTACACCCCTCTCATATCAATCCTACCCTACAACCTTATCAAGAAAGAATCCAATTATACAAGTGCCCATATAATAAAATAATCCAGAGCTGCTTCCAAGCCGAGATCTCCATCGCAATACAATGTCCTTATAGTAATTTCACAACTGACAACTCACAACAATAATGAAACATTACAGGAAAATTAGTGCAAATAGCCTCTGTAGGCTATTAGTGACACGTTGGTTTTTACATGGGTGTGTTTGGATTGATGTTTTTCACAGAAACAAATATTGAACTCAATGCAGGAGCCTATCTAAGGTGAGTTGAAGCATAAGCATTACACATTTAGCTTTTCCTTCAAAACAGTGGTAACACACACATGGTGTCGCCACTGTATCAGAAATTTTGAAAAAATATTTCAAAGCGATTTTATTGTGTCGTATATTTGTGTTATAGCTCCATGCACATGCTGGCGCAAGCTAGCAGAAACTGCAAATCCAGTTTCTCTGATTACTATAGTACTATTGCTGGAGCTATTGTTTTCTCAGATGAACCTTTATGGTCACTTCAAGATTACTTCGCTCATATATGAAGTCGCTAGATCTGTTTCATTCCTTTATTCGATTCTATTAGCTCCAAGTCTTATTGTGCAAGTAATTCAAGTAACGAATAAGAACAAGAAAATCTAGAAGGGACAAAAAAAATGCTAGGGAAGATGTGAGATGTGCTTAGAACAATAATTACGCTGATGAGAAAATAGAACATTTGCAAGCTTCCTAAAAGCAGAGATCTTGTTCCTGCGAGGATACTGATCATTTGTATCAGTATTAAAGTTGATAGAGAGGTCCAGGTCACTTTTAGGAGTAAATAGATCCATTGTGAAAGATCCAAACGGTTCCACAATTGGAAGCCCATTATTTTTACCTGAAAAGTAACACCAACTGTGAACTCAAAATATTTTAAATGGAAAGCAAAGACGTCCTAATAAAAGTGGTAGCTAAAATTCCGCAGATCACACTATCAACTAACATTGACAAGACGTGCGCTTGGCCGGAATGTAACACAATTGTAACGAAGTTCCAACAAAAATTCTGAAAACGCAACAGGCCATCAATTAAACCAGGTTCATAATTTCGAATGCACTTCTATTTTTTTTCTTACTGCTCTATCATATAGGGGAAAGCATTTTCTTTATATGTTCTCCTACGATTTGAAGCATAAATATTTAAGCTGGTAAGATATCCTTAAATAAGGTGTACGGTGAAACCCTATTCTGCTGTTGCATATAGTTATCCATAAACTTTCATGTGTTTAAAGCGGTTGGTTCATCAGTCAAAAACATGCCTGATTGCATATGCACTTATGATTTGCATGATAATATGCGTTCTGCAACCATTCATGAATGTGATCCATTTATTGGTCCCAAGCAAGTTTGGGTTTGTACAAATGTCTACAAAATGTAAATAAACATCTGGTACAATTAACAATGATCCCAAGAGCACATTACATGAATACGAATCCTTGACCCCCATGATTCCATACAAATATGTTTTTCTCAAACATGCAAGAGAACTCTCTTACCAAAAATTCCTCCAGCGATTGTGTTGAAAACATTAATCATACGATATCGGTGTTCATAGTCCACTGGCTGTGGTTGCAATGATGCATAGATGTCCTAAAATAATTCCTCTAGAACTGGAAGCAGAGAAGGATCAATAACACACCCTTCTCACTCTATCTCACACCTTTCTGCATGGCTGCGCAATGCTGCATGTTATCCAAAATTTAGATCAGACACTAAATATATAGAACTTTCAGGTGCAGGTCCTCCTAGGTGCAAGTACAGTAAGAAATATCTTTGTAACTATTTGTCTTTTGCATGCTCAGATAGGCAACAAATTTGCGCTCTTTAAAAGTTATATCTGTACCAAAGACTGAAGCAACTAAAGCAACGTTAAGCAAGCGATTATAGAATGAACCTACTATGACTAAAAAAAAAAAGGGCGTACCCAGTGCAGAGAGCTCCCGCTCTGTGCGGGGTCTAGGGAAGGGTGTCAGTGGCAAGCCTTACCCTCGCCTGTGCAATGCGAGGAGACCGCGACTCGAACCCGGGACCTTCCGGTCACAGGCGGTAAGACTCTACCGCTTGCACCAGGCCCGCCCTTCAATGAACCTACTATGACTCCTAATAGTAAATGTATCGAGCTACACGTGCACAGGAACAGTTACATGATATGGGTGTCAGTGTTCGGTTCAGAAACAGGTGTCCCAATATGGCAGGATTTTAGGGAAATGCCAAATACCAACTGGGATCCAACACTGGTGCAGGGTATCTGACTCGCAAAAAGATTAGGACACTGGTGTTCGGGTAACAAGCGTAAGATTGTCCATGATTTGCATTCATTATCCGGATGCACACGACAAAACACAATATTTGGATGAACTTGACCATCCAATCAAGAATCGAGATATCACCAAAAATATTGGAGAGAATCTAGGCTTCCAAACTTTCACAAGGGACGGAAATAATAGTGCAGTGAAAGGAATGTTATTTCTTTCTACTGACAAGGAAGGTTCTTTTTTCCAACTGCATAGTAGATAGTATAGATTCGTGTAAGAACTTGCCACATTGCATTAATACCTTGGCATTCTATCTACTTAGTTCTACTCTACAAGACCGCTCAATGCACATACAGGTCACTGGTAAGCAGCAAGCAAGTGTACAAAGGCCGCAGGTAAGCAGATAGAAATGTGTCTAGGCTTCCAAACTATGATAAGGAAACAAGAGAGCAGTGAAAGGAATGTTATTTCTAAAGTATAGCTTCGCGTAATAACTTGCCGCATTGCATTAATACCCTGGCATTCTATCTACTTATAGTTCTACTCTTTAGCAAGTGTAGGAAGGCCGAAGGGAAGCAGACAGAGATGTGTAAGCGAAGCAAGTGTAGCAAGGCCGTAAGCAAAGCAAGTGTAGCAAGGCCGTAGGTAAGCACATAGAGATGTGTACCTTGGGAATCCCATGAGATTGGGACAATGGGCCTGCACGATGGCAAACAAAATAAAGCTCAAAAACATGAAAAGACGAAGAAATCCAGGTTTGCCATCATACACAAACAGAACAACGACGACGCAGCGGTTTCTAGTCTAGCGGGGGAAATTCTACCACGGCAAACAACAAAAGCACGGACCTTTTCGCATCCAATGGGCAGAAATAAGTAAATAACCTACTAGAATCGTGCATCGGCATATCGAATTTCATCACTAGAGAAAAAGATAAGCAACCGAATCGAACAGTAAGGGGGAAGAGAGAGAAGGGGGGAGACGAAGAACGAACTTGGGACGGCGATCCCCGTCCAGGACAGCAGAGGCTTCGGGTCCTAAAGGAACCGGAGGCGAAGCGGCGGCAGCGGCCATCCAATTGTACTAAGATCGGCAGCCGTCGGAATCGGCGGGAGCGAGCACCATTGTGTCCGCGCCCGCGCCGGCTTCACGTCGGTCGGGCGAGGGTGGATGAGGGAAGGTTGCTCGGGTGGAAGGGTCAGAGCAAGTCTTATGTCCGACCAGGCCTCTGCTGTGTGAACCCCGCAGCGGAAGTAGTAACGGAAACCGAGGGGTCTCCTCTCGCCGCCTAGTAAGAAAGCGGGCCTCAATATGTGGGGCAGGCCAGCCGCAAATTCTTAAGGCCTTAATAAGGATTGAAAAAGATCGAGAAATGTTTGCTAGGGATTTATCTACTTATACTATATAAATCTATATTTGTTAGCCCTAAGATAATTTATTGCCTTAAGAGCATATCCAAGATATTAGCCAAATCATTTTTCTCAAATAAAAAGAAGAGATTAGCCAAATCATTTTGTAAATGTAAATATGGCTATTATTAGAAAAAAAAATCATCTCCAACAAACTCCGTATATGGCACTCCAAATTTGGTAGCTCGTCGTCCCTGAAACTCCGATCTCCATACATGGATAGCCTATGCCACTCACCATCCGGCCTTTTTTCGCGCCAGCCGACTCCTTCGCATGTTGCCCCCTTCTTCCCACACAAACGCGATCCTACGCACGCTATCTTCAACTTCCTCCGCCCACTCACGGCCCTTTGCGCCCGTTCCCCTATCAATCACCGGTGGCACCATGTCCCTGCCGCACGCAACCTCATGGTCCGGCACTTGTGCACGGGGGTAAGGCAACATGGGCGCCCAATCTATTATCCCTTCCTCCCCAACCATCGTCGTCCACGCCACAGCGCAAGAGACCGCCTCGATGTCCACGCATCCTCCTTCTCGCGTCGTCCGCTACCATGAGGTCACGTTTTGTGCTCGTCTTCGCCGTGGCCGCTGTGCCGATGCTCCTCCTCGCGTCCGCCGCGCGCAGCACAAATGGAGGTGAGTGCAGGGCCGACGGCGCGGCGGTGTAGGGCAACCACACGCAGATCAAGGCGCTCAAGATCACGGCGCTCTTCTCCATCATGGTGTGAGGTGGCGGATTCTCAAGGGTTGGCCTGATCTGCGGCCTGTGAGGAGGTGAGATGGACATTAAGGTGAAGAGATTGTTGTAGATTTCACTTTAAGTTGCATTAATTTACATTAAGTTGCGAATTTCCTGAACGACGACTCATATTTCTGTTGTCATAAAAGTTGCGGATTCTCTGTAGCCATGAGGAAAAGAGATGGACACTAAAGTGAAGAGATTGCTGCCGAGTTTACTTTAAGTTGCAGTAGTTTACATTAAGTTGCAAATTTTCTGAACAACAACTCCTATTTCTATTGTCATAAAAGTTGATCTTCAGAGTTAAGTGATTGCCTTACCTTCATCCAAAAAACTGAGCTGATGGAGAAGTTAAAGGTGCCATCACATGCTGAGTTGATGAAGATTGCTATTGCTGACATTAATAATTCATGTGTTTTAATTTGCTGGACGACCGCCATCGTGCACACAATGGTAATGGTAAATTAGGTACTTGTTTGTCAATATAAACATATGCTCGAAACCTCATCTTCGGCAAATCAATGCATGGATGAACGTGTAGTTACGAATAATAGATGCGCCCTTTTTTTACTCTTGTCCATAAGAGAGAGTATGTTAGTTTAGTTATTTACCTGTAAATGATGCATGCTAAGATGATCCATGTACCTGTTGAATAGTTATTTGTACTGATTAGGTTTGTCATATTCATACTGATTAGGAGTCGCACATCCAAACTGATCAGGGTTACAACAGGTATACTAATTGGTGGCTGCAATAGGCATAATGATTAGGGGCCATGGTAGGGGTTGTGACTATTGTTTTCCCCCTCCCTAGTTTGTAGTATGTTGTGATTTAGGGTTGCTTGAGGGGTTAGGACTATCATTTTCGCTCCACCCTAGTTTGCAGTCTTGTGATTTAGTGTTACTTCAGGGGTTAGGACTATTGTTTGCCCCTCCATCTTACAACATGTTTTGATTCATAGTTGATATAGGGTTGTAACTATTTTTCACCTTCGGTTTGTAGGCATTTGTGATTTTGGGTTGCTTTAGGGGTTATAACTATTATTTTGCCCCTAGTTTGGGACATGTTTTGATTCATAGTGGATGCAGGGTCATCACTATTGTTCCCCCTAATTTGTAACCAGTTGTGATTTAGCGATGCTTCAGGGGTTAGGAGTACTACCCACACAAACACTAGCTTATAGCACGTTTTGATTCATAGTCAATCCAAGGTTGTGATTATTGTTTGCCCTCTCCCTAGTTCTGCTATGATCTTACATAAGTGCAGGAGGTTCCCTACTCCACACAGTGTGATTTAGGGTCGTTGTAGGGGCTGTGAGTTGTGGATGTGGGTTTCCCTCTAGTTATTAGCAGCTTGTGATTTAATTTATCACAGCATATTCCTAAGAATTGCCAACACACCTTAAGTTACTACATACCTAGTCTATATAGGACTTGATTTGACATAAGTTTTTATCAAGTAGTTTTTTCACTACATAAGTTATCACATAGTTTTATATAAGTTGCGCGATTTTATTCAACATAAGTTGCTACTTGGGTGTCAACGAAGGCTATGATTACATCAAGGGTCAGCTTTGAGCCCTTATTTGTTTGCTTTAGTGATGGATGAGGTCACAAGGGACATAAAGGGGACATCCCTTGGTGTATGCTTTTCGTGGACGTTGTAGTGCTAGTTGATGAAAGCCGGACAGGAGTGAATCAGAAACTGGAGTTATGGCGGGAGACTTTGGAGTCCAAAGGTTTTAGACTCGGTAGAACTAAAACTGAGTATATGAGATGTGACTTCGGCACTACTAGGGAGGAGGAAGATGTTAGTTTGGAAGGTCAAGTAGTGCCTAGGAAGGATACCTTTCGATATTTAGGATCAATGCTACAGAGGGACGGGGATATTGATGAAGATGTTAGCCATAGAATCAAAGCAGGGTGGATGAAGTGGCGGCAAGCGTCTGGTGTCCTATGTGACAAAAGGGTACCACAGAAGCTAAAAGGTAAGTTTTATAGGACGGCGATTAGACATGCTATGTTGTATGGTGCAGAATGTTGGCCTACAAAAAGACGACATGTTCAACAGCTAAGTGTCGTGGAAATGCGTATGTTGCGTTGGATTTGCGATCATACAAGAATAAATCGAGTTCGGAACGATGATATACGTGATAGATTAGGGGTAGCGCCAATTGAAGAAAAGCTTGTCCAACACCGGTTGAGATGGTTTGGACATGTGCAACGAAGACCTCCAGAGGCACCGGTGCGTAGTGGAATCCTAAGCCAGGATAGTAACGTGAAGAGAGACAGAGGAAGACCAAAGTTGACTTGGGTAGAGACAATAAAAGGAGACTTGAAATGATGGAATATACCCAAAGACTTAGCCTTACATAGGAGTGCTTGGAAGACAGCTATTCACGTGCCTGAACCTTGATTGTTTCTAATGGGTTTCAACTCTAGCCTACCCCAACTTGTTTGGGACTTGAAGGCTTTGTTGTTGTTGTTGTTTTTTGAAACAGAGCTCATTTCATTACTCCACCATCACAGCCAAATCGCTGGACATCAAACCCTCAAGAGACTAAGGTACAACGTCCCAAGTGGTGCTCTCACCACCAGGTAGATGACAACCCAAAGAAGTTGGTTCATGAGCTAACTTATTACAATTTCGTGAGGAAATACTAATCACACAGGAGGAAAATTCCATCGCCATCAGGTGCTTGATTTCAGTGATGACGCCACCCATTGACGATAGCCGATACTCATCACCTTCTATGGCCGTCTTCACCATTGATGCATCTGTTTCAAGAATGACTTGAGCCATGCCCATCTGCGCTGCCATCTTCAGACCCTCTGCACATCTCCAGTAATTCAGCATGAAACGCGTTCTGGAGGAAGGCCTCACTGCCCGCTCCAGCTCTGCAAACAACACCTTGATTATCCCGTATAGCATAGCCCCAGCCTCCTGTACCAGACGTTGGGAAGTAAGCGCCATCGGAATTGATTTTCAAAGACTCCATGCTCGGGGATCGATCCAACGCCTCTTCCGACCGGAATCCAACAATGACTCTGATCGCTCCGCCTGCTTTCAGTTTGTCATCTCAGTCGCTACCATGTAAGCCACTTCCTACCGCTCCTCCTCCTTCCTTCCTCCATCTATTTCTTTCCTTCCACCACAACCAAAGCAATGTCACGACAGTAGACTGCTGGTTCGGTTCTAGTTTAAAAAATTTCTCCATCATCTCCACAACTGAACATGCTGTCATCAGTTCACAGCGTACATCTTCTAAATTCAGTTCCCTCCAAACTTCCCTCACCTCTTTACATTTAAGAAGGAGATGTCCTCCATCTTCATCATATCTCCCACACATGCAGCATCTGGTATCTAGCTTCATGCAATGCAGGACCATATGAACTGCTAGGGTGTTGTGACTCATTCTCCATAGGAAGTGTTTCACCTTTCGGCTCCCCTCTAATCCCCCCCGATCTGCTAGATTGTTGAGCTCTTTGCACCACCGCCCTATGCACCTTATAGTCCGATTTCACAGAGAAACGCCCTTTGTTATCAAAGTGTCATCCCAAGATATCTTCCATTTCCATATGGATAGGTAGTGACCTGATTACCTTCACATCTTCGTCCTAGAATGTTTGATTCAAGAGCTGCTCATCCCAATTTTCCGTTGTCGGGTCAATCAATTCTTCAACTCTTTGGAGCAAAGTCCTTCCTTTAGGTGTGATCGGTCTACGAGTTATATCTCTGGGTAACCATGGACCTCCCCAAATATGAATGCCTGCTCCATTTCCCACCCTCCAGATGACTCCTTTCAGGACTTCCACCCCCTGCATAATGCTCCTCCACGTATACGAACACCCGTCTTTCACCTTGGCCTGCAACACACTAGTGTTTGGAAAATACTTGGCCTTTAGAATTCTTGCACAAAGAGACTCAGGGGTTTGGATTAATCTCCATCCATGTTTAGCAAGCATCGCCATGTTAAAAGAATGTAGATCCCGAAACCCCAATCCCCCTTCTATGGTTGAGTTAATCTCTCCAAACTTACCCAGTGTATGTTGTTCTCCTTATCTTGGTTGTTCCACCAATATTTAGCAATCATCGCGCTGATTTGACCACAGATTTCTTTTGTTAAATCAAAGCAACCCATAGCAAAGACTAGAATCGCCTATGCAACTGCCTTAATCATAATTTCCTTTCCAACTTTCGACAGCAATTTCTCTTTCCACCCTTGGATTCTTTGCCACACCCTCTCCTTTAAGTATGCAAACACATCTGTTCGAGATCTCCCCACATAAACCGGAAACCCCAGATATTTTTCACTCCTTGTCTCCGCTCTGATGGACATAATCTCCCTCACCTTTCTTCTTTGATCCTCCCCTGTGTTGCTACTGTTGGAATGTGATCGGTTCGGCTAATCCCAAACTTAATTATGAGATTAATTAAGCATTAAGTTTTTTGTCCACCTGTCATTTATTTCCAACTAAATAAGATCTGCCGTGATCAGCGACAACCCTTAGATATTCTAGGGTTCGGCCCCCTGGCCCACAGTGCATCTATAAATAAGAGGAGACACTCCTGACGACTCCATCCACGTGAAACAAATCACACAACCGGTCAATTAGGCGTTGGAGGGTCTAGGAAGGTCGTCTCCCACGTCCATCTCGTTCAGGTACATCTCGGCGGCGTCTAGAAGGCCACCGCTACCTGGCTCCTCACGTTCTTCACCAACAGAGGACATTCAAGCCCTCAGGCGGTGAACTCAAATCATCTGCTACATCTACGACCTCCATCGCATCTCCAACGACATAGATGGCGTACACAGGCTCTGGTTAGTATCTAAGATTAGTTTCCGCATTAAGATGAGTTAGTGATCATGTTTAGGCTAAGATAAGATCTTGTTTATGCTAAGTTCTAATTCAACAGCTACTAAACATAACTGCCGACTTGTCTGTATTAATAATTTGGCCGGAACAGTCCTCATAGATCTTCAAAAGCTCCTTGAAACTCTCAGCTTCTTCCTCACTCGCCTTGCACAAGATAAGTGAGTCGTCGGCAAACAGCAAATGTGAGACTGCCGGCTAAGATAAGATCCTGTTTATGCTAAGTTCTAATTCAACAATCGGTATCAAGAGCCTGCTTAGACCTAACATGATCCTAGGCCAGAGTCAGTTTTGTTTTTTATGCCTCTGTTATATATTAGATTAGTTTCGGCTAAGTTAGATTAGATGCAATTAAGTTTAAATTAAGATCGATCTTATATGTTACATGCATGTTTAGCCTCTGTGATATATATCTATGCTATGTAAGTGCCGAATTAGATTCGTTTCAAGTTGTCAATATGAGATTAGATTTTTATTAGATCCGATCTGAGTTTATGTTCATGATTAGACTAAGCAATTAGGATTAGGGTTTTACTGATTACCGTTATTAGCCTCGGATTAAGCAATCGGTGATATTTTTAGATCTTGATTAAGCACTGAGAAGGAGGTGATTTGGGCAAAACCCGGTTAAAGTCCCAAAGATCCCCAATTTTCCCCCAAAATCAAGAACCCTAACCCTAAGATTAAGCATCAGAGATTGAGACTGAGATTGCACCTGTGCGGCTCGTACCCGGTTTCTAGATCAGGTCGCCGCTCTGGGATTAGAGTGGCTCGTACCGGGTTGTAGGCCGGGTCGCCGCTGCCGTGCCACGCCAAGCCGCGCACAAGAGTGGCTCGTACCCGGCGTCCTCAGGCCGGGTCGCCACCGCCGCGCCCTGAGATGAGAGCGCTGCCACGGGCCTCAGGGGCGCTCAGACGCGGCTGCGCGTGCGCCCATGGGGCCGCCACCGCGCGGATGAAGGCGGGGGCCGCCACTGCCGTGCGCGTGCCCTCAGGGGCAGGCCACCGCCGCCGCCGTGCGCGTGCCCTCAGGGGGGCGGCCGCCGCCGGCGCCGCACCATTAGTTGCGGCCTGTGAGGCGTGCAGCCATCTGCCGTTAGTTCTTCTGCTCCGGCATCAGGGCACCCGGGCCCGAGCTCGACGGAGCCGTGCGCGGCTCTACCGCACGCGCGCACCGGCGAGCCGAGCGCCGTGGTGCCTCACCGTCACGTGCATCTCCCTCTCTGTCTGTCGTGTTCGTGAGAAGAAGCAGATGAGGAGAGTGAGGAGTGACGAGTGACTGAGGTGATTTTAGGGTTTACATCTTATTTATATGAGCGTAAGATCATATGTGGCCGTTGGATTCACTTGAACGGCTAAGATTGCTCAGCGATTAGGTTGTCCTGAGCAGGCTGTTGCTGGGCTCAAAGGGGAGGCGCCATGGGCCATTGCTAGGCCGCACGTGCCGCAAGTGGCTTTGGGCCTCTGCCGGGCTGCTCGGCCTTTTAAGGCTAAATTGAGTTTTTTTTTCAGAATATAAGTTTAGTTACTATTTATTCTCAGCTCAGATTAAGTATTTCAATTAAGTTGAGTTGATTAATGTTAAATTTCCATTATTTTTTAGTTGAGTTTATGCTCATATAAATTTGCTCACTGATTTTTATGAGTTCCCCGGTGTGGCTACTGCGCTAAGGAACAGAAAAGAAATGAGTAATTGGATATTAAATTTATAGCTGGGCATTTATACTCATGAGTTTAGCTAAATCTTAGTCATCCGTTGAGTTAAATAAATGAGATCATCTTAGCCACTAAGTTTTTCTAAGTGGTTATTTATTGGGTTTTTAAGGGGGAGCGACCTGGCATGGTACTTTTGAACTACTATTGGTCCTACCCTTTAAAATTCAAATCAAGTTTTAATTTTAGAATATAAGTTTGCCCGGCTACTTAATATAAGCACATTATTTTTTTAAGTGCTTTTATTAAGTTTAAAGTTATAATGGCCTCATTATGTTTTGTTTTTTAGCTTTAGTGTCAGCAACTTAATTATTTCTTTAAGTATTATAAGTTTAATGGCCTCATAATGATGTATATTCCCACTTCATATATAGCTTAAGTATCCATTTGCTTTAGTAATCTTTAAGTTAATATAAGTGTGTTTTGGGAATATGTTGTTGTGAATATTTTAAGTTTAAGAATTTTTTTAGTGTAATTTACTCAGTTAACTTGTATGCACTATTTAAATAAGTTTTAAGTCTGAGTTTTAATTTTTAGTTCCAGCATTAAAATTTATGCTTTCATGAACATTTTATATTTTTAGTGATGTCCTAAGATTAAGTTTTGCATGAATTTGCATTCAATAATAAGTTTTTTATATACATTATCCACCAATGTGTAGTAAGATGGTCTCTGGTTGAATGGAACCAACGAGAAATTTAACCGGAGATTACTCATAATTAATTTCTGACCAATGTTGACTTTAATTATGAGTTATTAAGATGGATTTTGGTTTGTTTTCTGCCCAACGGTGATGTAAACTAAAATTCTTAAGGATGTTGTTAATACCGACCAACATTGTTTTAACTTCATGCTTTAAGTACATCTTATATACCGCTTACTAATTGAGACATTATTTTTGCTTTAAAATTTTCAGTAAATTATGCAGACTATTTAAGTACTATAGAACCCCTAAGGTGCACTAATTTTTCTACTTGAAATAATCAGGTGCATGCCATTCTCAAGGAGCTGGACATTGATTATGCGCTTCATGAGGAAAAACAACATGCTCCTTCTCCTATTTATGAGTATTATGCTGAGAGGATGAAGAAGTATATCCTAAAATTAGAAAAAAAAAATAGGAGAAATTCAATAGGATTGCCAAAATGATAATAAGATACTCCCTCTCAGTTAACATGATGAGGAGGTTTCTTTCTAATGGAAAGAACACTGAGAAATAAGTGCTAAGGAGCTTCATAACTCCATAAAAGCATACTTTAGAAAGGTTTTCCGTTTTGATAAGTTAATTAATTCCCGTTACGATGGGATAAGTGGTCTGGATAACCACATTAAAAGCTTGTTTGATATGGCTTATGAATTGATGGCACTTGGATTAGATGTGTCCAA